CCTCCATCTGGCACTCGATGATGAACCAAAAGATATCGTCGGCGAAACAGTAGCGTGGCACGCATGCCCTCCAGGGTGCAAGCAGGTTGTCGGATGTGCGGTATTGGTTTCTTGGCTGTTGCGCCACGGAACCGTTGCGTGAGTGGGAGACCTGTACGCTGTCAGCCGAGAAAAGCACACCCGCATGTAGACGACTTACCGAGCCAGCCTTGTTGTGCCCGCCGTTGCTCCGAACGCTCATGCGCTCCATACCCTGCTGCAGCGACTGTCCAGAATTCGTCTCGAGCTTTCCGAGCGGTATGCTGCCGTTCTTGTAGTCGGCCGCCATCTTCTTCCACTCTTCGACCTTGGGGACGCCCGCGGCTGTGACTGCTGCCTGTGTGTCGGCAACGGCCTGACCAGTCGTCATATCGCGGATTTCGATGAAGGATACGGGGATGAGGCCAGGACCGCCGAGTCGCGTTATCGGCTTTGCGACAAACCATTCGGGGTTCGACTGTGCGATGACGATGATAGCCTCGCCCTCCTTGGCCTCTAGCTCGTCCGGCCTCTCTGCCTTGAAGTCGTAGATGACGATGCCGTAGACCATGGCGCCGCGGCCGCCTCCGCGCGACATGCGCATTTGCTGGGTCATGAAGTCCTGTGCCGAGGGCTGCGGGCTCGTGATGCGTTCTTGGTAGCCTGAGTCGTGGGGCTGTTGTTGCTGTTGTTGCTGCGGTTGCTGCTGGTGTTGCGGCTGCTGGGGAGTGGAGGAGCGCGGCGCGGAGCCACCACTGTCGCGCACTGTCTTGCCTACGCCCTCAAAGTAGGAAACGGGTACCAGTCCGCGGGTGCCGTGCAGGGGATTGCAGGCCTCGTACCAGTCGCTGTCGTCTTCGCGCCCGACGACGTGCAGAAAGTCGCCCTGGGAAAAGCCAAGGTAGCCAGAATTTGGGCTCGGGTCGGCGGGCTTGTAGTCGTAGAGGGCTTTTATGACCTGAAATGAGATGGCTGTTAGCTTCGCGCTCATCTGCCCTATCGGGAAGCGGGTGCCGGGGAGCGCGCATCATGATATAGCGACATGTCGCGGCTTGCTCTGTCGTCGACACAGGCGCATGTTTGCTGCGCAGGCGCAGGCGCCCACACAATGCGCCTGTGTCGACAACACCAAACGCCTGCCCTGCCCTCATGCGCGCACGCCTCGTGAAGAAGCAGAGTGGGGCCCAAGCACCCCAAGCACCCCAACGCTGATCTACGTACCTTTTTTGGCGGGACAATGGCTATAGCGTCCTTGGGCGGGATGGAAATGTGGTGCGGGCGGTTGTCCTTCTCACTCTTCATACTCCTGCGGAACTAGAGCAGCACCGTTAGCACGTACGAATGCGGAGCGTGACTCGACGGGCGCAGCGGCGGCCGTGGCGGCAAAAGCAAGCAGGCAACGCACCTTCATCGTGCAGAGTGAACGCAACCTTGCGCGGCAGCAGACGGGGAAGCAGAGGAGAGGTCAGGAGGCGAGCGCTCGACGTGGAACTCGGGGGTCCTGCTACTGTGACTGTCGCCCGGGAATGCGGCGTGTGCGTGCGGGGGCGAGTACGCGGCGGAGGAGGGTGAATTTGAATCGCGCACCGGCCCTCAGAGACAATGGTGAGGCTACTTAGATAGGCGGCCAACGTCGTCGTCGTCAGGTACTGCCAGAGGCGCAGTCACTAGAGGAACAAGAAATGAGTGGGTGCTTTCACGCCGCGAGGGATCCCAGCCCTGCCAGCTGCAACCACTTGGCGATTCGTCTCTCGCGTCACACTCTATGCCTGGCACGCTTCGGAACAAACGAACTGCGGCGGGTAGCGCAAGGCGGCGAATCCCTTCGACCTTTGTTTGCGTGCGCTGACTTGCTCCCGGCCAGGAATGTGGAATCTCTACTAAAATACAATTATGCCCGACACGGTGGAGCATCCCACACCATCAGCCTGCCAAACGCCTAGCTGCAGGTCCACCACATTTCCGCCTCTGTCACCGCACACCGGCGCAGCCCCCAACATCCGCGCTGCATTTATGCCTTCGCGACCAATCATCCACCGGGCTAGCCCACAATGCTAATGCCTACGTTGGCCGTGTCATCATTTCCACATGCAAACCCAATCTCGACGCCCCTCTCCTGTCAGTCATCCATACTCCTCTTCAAATGTTATCCTCATGGTTGATGCTGGACGCGGCCCGACTGAAACATCCTCGCCCTGCGTGGCGTCGTAGTCTCCCGTAATCCTCACCACGCGGTTCACACGCGCTCACACTCTCAACACAAACTTCGTGAACCAATGCATTGACGACTATACGAACGCCCTGGATACTTCCAGTGGGTGTGACTAGCGCCAACTGCCGCTGAACAATTGCACCCTACCCAATCACAGCCTCGGAACCCTCTTCCGCCATCTCATTGGCTCGCTCAGAGCGCCTCTAGCCAATCTTCCAAAAGGAGCAGACCCCGCCACAGCCCAGACAATGCATACTCCAAAACCAAGCAGTCGTCACCTGATGGCCCACGATATGACCACATTGTCGTTCGATCTTCGCACATCCGTGGAGCATGCCGCCGTAATGCCCGTCTTCCCAACCCCACGTGCACTCGGACGCACCCGAGCCGAACTCTCTGTGACACAGGGACCACCACAACCGAGCCAGTGGGCTCACATCCTACATAGCCATCTAGACCAAGTCCACTCTACCCCATTTTGTTTTCCAACCCACTTCCTTCATGCACGCCCATGACGTACCGTAAGTTTACCAAGATCCAATTTGGTAGGTGATGAACAACATCTGAGACGTTGCATGTATGAGAAGCACACTAGAAGATTCCGCGCATCCAACGCATGAGGCGGAAACCCCATGTTCCGACTACTGACATCGGGAAGGAAGCAATCGATACCGGAAGGTCGCAGTTCGAGACACGCGTGACGTGCCATGTGGCGCAGGGTATCGTGGTGAATTAGTGCAAATGAATAACTCGGAATCGGGATAATGATACTGTAGAAGATGAAAAGAAGTTTGTGCTGGCTCCGATGTCGATTCATATTTGGCCCTTGATGTCTACTTTGCTGAATGCGGCGGCACGCAGGCTTTCGAATTGAGATGCGGCTTCTCGGATCCTGACACGATATTGACCATCGCCTTTGTCTTCAATGACGTTCTGTGCACCGTGGGTTTCGAGGAATTCACGGCATATCTCATCGTTGTCGAAACCAAGTTCGTCAGTGAGGAAGCGGAGTGTGACATTTACATATCTACAGCTTGTTAGCAAAAGACCTGCACGATTTGGAATCCGTATACATACCCTCTGGACATATTAGCTAGAGCATTGAGGCGCTCACGCTCGACGAACATGTCCATGAGATAAGCGCCCATGTTCTCTGCTTCGAGGTACAGTCTGAAAAACTTATGATAATTGCCAAGGGCAAGCGAAGACCGAACGTCCAGAGCATGCTTGATCCATGGGTGGGATTTGTCTGCGAGGGTTAATTCTGCCAACATGTCGTTCATATCGGTCTTGTTGCACGTATATACGAAGTAGAGAATGCGGTACGCCTTGAACTCAGCCGGGTTGCCTCCCAAGTTCTGCGCATACAGTGCCTTCAGCTGCGTCTGGCACTGATTATACTCACCCAAATCCCCCTTTTCTAATGATATCCGGGCGTGGATCTCATACACCTTGACAGTAAAGGCGTTCTTGATGTGCTGAACAGTAAGATCCTGGCGGAGTGACTTGAATTGATTACAGATGTAGTTGTAGTTCTTTTCCGCCTTCCACTTCTCCACAAGCATGGCCAAGGTCTTCTTGAGCACGTGGAGCGGCCGGACGGTTTCAGCTTTGGGCGGGGCCGTAAGGCGGAAGTAGCTTTTCTCGAGATTTTCGTTCGTTCCAACAACAGGTCCAGTGGGCATTTCGTCTTCACCTTTACGCGATGAGCCCCATGGGGTCGTCTTGGTGCCATTGTTGCCGAGCTGGAAGCGCTGTCGTCGCTTGTCAAGCTCAGCCTGGTCAAACTTACTTGCGGCATCCGAGAGGGCGTTCTTCTTCTGGCGCTTTTCGTTGTGTCCGTCGGCAAAGGTCATACGAGATGCTAGGTTAGTTTTGCGCCACGGTGGAACATTGGCTTGTGTTTGCTCGACTTGTGCATCCTCAGCTTCGTGGGCATTGCGCTTCTTTGATTGCGTTGGAGATGTGTTAGTGTGTGCGGCTGAGCCATTCATGTATGCAGGGTGTATGCCGTTGGGAACAGCAGTAGCAGGCATTCCAAGAGCCGCCGCCCTTCGTTCTTCCATGAGAAGCTCTTGGGGAAGAGGGAATGTAGGCCAATGAACAGTGTCGTGCGAGTTGCGCTCGGCGAACCAACCGATGGTTGTCTTTAATCGCGCCTGCATGTCTGCTTGGGAGATGCCTGGGATGGCGTTTTGCGGATCGAAAGCACGCCTAACGTATTCGCGGACGGCGGGAGGCCACTCGACCTTCTTCTTCGGAGCTTCCGGGGCCATGACTGGCTGCTGGCGTGTGTGAGCGTGGATGGGGACTCTCGTATAAGTGAGGAGACTAACAGGCGCGGGCGCAGGTTGGAGTGTGGTGCGTGGGTTGACTGCGTTGTACGCGGGTGACTGCATTGGCCGGGACCAGGCTACAGTGGCAGAGGGCAACGACATAAGCAGGCAAGCAAAGCAAAAGAAGTGAAAACCAGGTTGACTGTTGTGTGAGTAGGTAAAGGCGAGGAAAAGAGATGTGGGAGAGATGGCGCGGGGATGGATCTATTGTTGTGGAGGTGAGAGTGAAGCGACGGCCCGCTCGACTGATTTGCGTCGCAGTGGTCGCGCTTTGCTTGGCGACGACTAGCGTGGGTCTAGCCGCAAGCAAGCTAGCCCTGGCCAATGACGACTGCTGGGCCCGGGCCTGGTGAATGCAGGTGGGATCGGGTCATCGTCGACTCGACCCAATGCGATGGACGTACCTCGCATTTTCCAACTTGCGAATGGTCTGAATGTTCCTGCATCAACTCGACCTCACAACCGCACTGCGCCCGTCGCTCCTGCCGGAGGAGACGCTGCTTTTCGTCCAAGACGCCGTAGGGCTCTATGAGGGGTATGCGCATGTTCCCCAGGGCTCTTATACGCTGCTGACCAGGCACATAGGAAATTCAAGATACCCCAGTACCAGAATGGCCAGTCATACTTGACGTCGCATCGCGTCTGCTATGTCGATCATAGCGAGCCACGCAAGAACTCCGTCGCTATCTTCCTCAAGGACGTCGAGAAACCAGAATTCTACGTGTGCATCCCCCTGCGTGCAAAGTCGAGGCACCCGACACTAACGACATACAGGCCGGCTTCCTCAAGTCGTCGCCCAAGATCACATTATATCCAAAGCCCCTGAAGCAGTTGACGCGTGGCGCGTCCGTTCCCTCGCATCCTCAGGCCACATCGTCGTTAACTCCTCCGCGACACAGTAGTCCGGCACCACCGCCCCCAGCGAGCGCGACCTGGGTGTGCCCTATCTGCTCTTTCTCGAACCCGGTCCCGTCCAACTTCGACCCCGCGCTCGCATCACGTACACCCATACCGCCTTGTCTAGCATGTGGAATTAAGCCGCCGACGGTGCATGTAGTCAAGGCAGCCATAGCAGCCATCTCAAACAGACCAGCGCCTGGACCACCTCCCAAAGATACAAAGGGTGGCGTTCCTGCTCCCGCAAGCGCAGGAGGAACGTCGTCATGCCCGAGATGTACCTACCAGAATCATCCTTCTCTGCTCAACTGCGAGATATGTGGTGCATCCTTGACAACAGCCATAGATAAGAGGTTGGACATGCTTCAAGAACCTACTAGACCGCAATCTCCAGGTCCGACCTTGTCATCACCTTTGCAGTCCGAGTCTGTCGAATGCATCAAGATATCTTTCCGCGCCGGTGGAGGACCGATATTTTTCGAGCGCCTGAAGAACGCATTAGTCCAGCGCAAGTGGCTGCTTCAAAGCGCCCCACCGATTCCCAAGCCACGGCCGTCTTCCGGTAATTTTAACGACAGCTACACAGCCAACTCTGACGCTTCATCAACGGAGGTTGAACGACCTCGCGTGGTCGGCATTGCGGGGCTGGAGCGAAGAGGCCTGGAGCAGAGACAGAATAACGAGGCTATGATTGGGAGCGCTTTCGAAGACCTCGATGCGCTTATGACTTCCGCGAAAGAGATCATAGCACTGGCAGAACAGTTTGCATCACAGGCCAATCTGGGGACTAACGGCAGCTCGGAAGCTAACGCTTTAGCATCTCAGTCCGCTTCCGCACTCGGCCTAGTGACAACAAAAGACATGCTGGGTACTGGGTCTGGGTCTGAGTCGCTATACGTATCGGAGCTGTCAAGAAACTTGGCAGAATGGCTCACAGACGACACTCGAGGTATACTCAGGAAAGAGGGCGGTATCATGACCTTGGTAGATTTATGGGCTGTTTTCAACCGCGCAAGAGGTGGTGTCGAGCTCGTAAGCCCGGCCGACTTTGAGAAGGCAGCTCGAATGTGGGATACATTGAAACTTCCCGTGCGCCTCCGTCAGTTCAAGAGCGGGTTGCTCGTCGTACAAGGACGCGATCGCACCGATGAGAAGACTATTACGAGTCTGCTGGCATGGCTCAAGACGCTACACCAAGCACCACCAAGTATGGAAGTCACCTGGGATTGGCAAACATTTGGCAGGGGTGTCACTGCTCAAGAAACAGCAGAGCGATTCGGCTGGAGCGTTGGAGTCGCGACGGAAGAGTTGGAGATGGCTGAAGAAGCCGGCGCACTGTGTCGTGAGCAGGGTATCGACGGGTTCAGATTTTGGGAGAACTGGCTGGTCAATATGCCAGAAGTTACTGCCGGTGTCTGATCATTCAGAAGGGCAGTCGTTTGTATCTCATGGAAAGAAACATCTAAACCCCTAGCTGACACTGATATGACAGTGAATCCAATAGCACGTCTCGTATAGTCTCGAAGACTCCTCTTGTATCATGCTCGTGAGCCGAAAAGTCCCAGCCATCCCGCGCTGATGTCGGTGACTTATTGATTGAGAACCATTTCGAAGACTCCAGTGCAAATACCTGCAAGTGTACTGCATCACCAAGTTGCATGTGTCAGCATCGTTACACGACCGCTTCAGCGAACCAATGCCAGGGTACCCCCAAAGACAGGCAAATCGGAATTGCTCACACCGATCTCAATGCAATCAGGCATCAGCCGCGGGAGTGCCCGCGACGGTGACCGCGTATCCACCGCTCCTTGAGGCAGGGTCCAAGCTCAACCTGTATCACGCCCACGCACCCCGCAACATCGGACCTCACTCTTGCAACATCTCTCCTGCATCCACCGACCTTTCATCAACTCCCAACCACGAATGACGCCACCTGTACCGGCCAAGTAAGTACTGCTAAATGTTGCGATCGACTATGATCTGTTATAGTAGCTAATATACGTGATATAGGGCCCGTAGATGGAACGCGAAGACAGTGCAGGCGGTCGACAGCAAAGGCGCAGGCAAGAGCGCTGGCATGAAGCGAGCCATTGGCAATAGCAACTCCGAGCCCCCCAAAAAACGGCGAAAGGCCCAGGCAGCTGCCACAGAAGACACGATCATTCCCGAAGCAGACAAGGTGACAAATGTGCCATGGGTGATAGATCCAGATCAGGTGTTTAGGTTCCTCGACCTGCCAGGAGGTCAGTCATTGCTGTACACCTGAAACCTAAACTTTACTGACTAAACCTAGAACTACGCAACCGAATCTACGGAATGGTGATCGAATGGAGCTTCCGCTGCTTCCCTATGACCCATGAAAAGCCAAAGAAATCCAGACGCAGAAAAGCAGTTGAGGGAAAAGCAGCCCCCATCACCCAAGCGAGACCGCTTCCTTACATCGGCTTGACACAAGTTTGCTCACTGATTCGTACTGAGTTCCGTCCTTTGTGGCTGTCTACTCATCAGTTCCCGCTCTTCGCACTAGAAGGATACTTCAAAGCTTTCTTTCCAGTGTTACGTGGAGGTTCACGATTAAACGAAGACGTTCGGAAACGCATCAAGAGCTACTCCAAAGCGACCGGCACCCTGCGTCTTTGGGTCAGAATGGACTGTTTGAAACACGTTGATGTCCTCCCACTTCTCAAGTTCAGGCACCGGTTCCCTGAGTACACCATAACGCCGAAACCTGCACCATTCAATGTCGACACGCTCACCATGGACTCGTTCACGGCTTTCATGAACACCACCCATGCGACCTGGGTCAGGTACATCAAGCAACACCGCATTACACAGATCAAGTTGCAAGTTAGCCGTTATACGGTCGGACCCTCCTACTTGCCCATGCGTATCGTTCTTAAAGAGAAAGACGCGCTTGGCTGGATGGGATCAGGTCTAATTAGCCAGTCCCACCTCGTGGAAGAGTACAAGAGATTTCTGGGACTCGATCCAAGTTGGGGTGTTACTTTTGCCGTGGATTACTCATGAAGGACCAGTTGCGCGCGATGAGCAACAGAGATGCCCAAAACCCTGGAATAGTTCTGTCACAGCGTATGGAGGAAGTGTAGAGTACACTTCTCGATCTTCATGTGGTACGGCGGCCATGTCTCTTTTTGTTCTGAGACATCGTTTCACGTATGGCCGGTAGCCCTTTCCGTCATAGACCTACTAATCGGATTACTCCACTCTACTCTAACAGCCAAAGGTCTACAATTGGCACGGCGAGGCAGGCATGAAAGAATACATTCAGATATGATTGATAGTCTAGATGCATACATCGTGTACCATAAAAAGATACGGCTGATCTGCAGGGATGCCGGTCGTGCAGCTGCTCAGCTGGTGACATGTCATGGCGCGTGACGTCATACCGAAACTTCCACCAGAACATGCCACGAACCTTAAACAGCATGTATACTTCCGCATTCAACCACTCCATGACTACGACTGCATCTTCAAGACCACTTTAGAAGGGTTATCTGGGAATGTTAGGAGTCATTTCGATGCCAAAGTGGAGGATACTCACCCCCAAGAAGATCCGCAAAGACCCCTCCATCGTCTACCATCAGAGGCGCGTCTGCATGTATTTAGTATGAGCATGATCACATCACCGCAATACACATACTGGAAAACTTCAATTGGTACGAGTCACCGTCCTGACTTGCAGTAACTTTATGCACGGGCATATCGGTGTCTGCCTTGAACCACCACACTTGCTTTGGAAGGAAGCTACGGTCTTCTACCATGGCTCGTCCAAGAATGTGACCGTCGCACTGCAGACGGCTGCCCTTGAGTTCAAAGACGGCTGCGTCCGTGCCTGTTTTCGCATGCGTCTTGTCTTCGGCGTTGCCGTCGACCTTGGCGATGGGGCTGCCATCGATTTCGATGGTGAAAGGGGCGGGGAGGCTATCCATCTCTTTTGACGAGAAGATGTGGAATGAAATCAGGATCAGAGAGAATAATCCAAATGCCCACAAGAGGTTGCGACGGCCTTTCGAATCAGCTGGCATTCGTTCTGGATGTGGTGGGTATTGCAGTGCAGAGAGTTGAGATGGTGTCAGGAGTATTAGTAGCAGCTGCGCCACGCATGTTGTGCAGGCAAGGCAACAGTCGAAGTACCTTGCATATGACGCAGACTTCGGATGAGGCTGAAGGCACTGCGCTAGTATGTCTGCATGGCGTTATCTGGCATTCATGCTCGGCGCATCGAGAGACATGTTGACGAGAGCCATTTACGTATACAGTGGCCTTATCGAAGCAGACTTATGTTGACTATGGTACCGAGGCTGGACGCGGACGCGGCCGGGCGCTGAACACAACGTTTCGACCGCCATTGTTTCTCGACCACTTCACATGCGGTGAACCACCGGCAAGCACTGGAGATCTCCATACCAGCCATACTATGTGCAGGTTTCAGCGCCGTTGTGTAGATCGATACTACCTCCGGCAGTCTGCCGGCTCACGCGCGCGTCGCCAAGACATTAAAGCTCCGCCCTACCAATAGCTCCTCCATCTCCTGCCTTTCCTGGCCCAGAGCCGGTGTCACCCAGCGAACGCCATAATGCGACATCCTGAATGCTCGCCATCTCCGACGTCGCAATGTGCATGCCGGGGCCAAGTGCGCGAGTGTTTTGCTAGCAGCCCATGCGGACCTATCCGTTGTGGCAGGTCAATCCTCCTGCCTTTTCCCCACTGGCGTACTAGTCACGCCTAACCTAACGTCAACACACTATTCGTCCCCCGACAAAATGGCACAAATCACGTACGATGCCGATCATGTAGGGCAATATACACAGCCTGCATCGTGGTTCGCCTACCACGAGATGTTACAGGAACCTGGTCGGCGCTTGTGTCGGTATGCACACCACATGTGGCAAAATCTCTTGCCTCTTCAGGAGACAACGCATGACGGCGCTATACGCCGCGATAAGATCGCGTCGATTCGATGGACTCTACGAGAACCAAGACTATGGCAAAGGAAATACGATGGTACTTCGGCTTTACTATAGCCAGGATATGGAACGGCGTCACAACCTCCTGCTGTCTAGGGAACAGCGTCGCTGTAACGGCCTTGTTGCGACATACCCCGAGTAGAAACAACCATGTTTGACGGCTACGTTGCGGTTGCCTGAGGCCGTGAGAGGGAACCGTCTTATTTCCGACATGTTTCAAGCACAAGAGATGGCTGAGATCGCAGCCCTAAGCTAGAATGAGAAAGGGGCGAAAAAGCAACGATCTGGAGAAGCGGACCTGCAGACTGCAGCTGTGAGGCAAAACTCGCCTTGATCCTGGTATACGGGAGCAACCGCTAGATCAGCTACGTCCATCACATTCGTTGTGAGGTAAACAGCCGGAAAGCTTATACTACACACAGATAACGTACCTACATGGACAGGGTCACCTAGCACGCACCGGCGCGCCAAAGGTACGATGGGCGGACTCTCGTTAAGACTTCGCCAAGCCGAAGCGGACCCCCAATTCGGAAGGACAAAGTACACACCTAGTCGATCACGCTTGGCGACTCCGGACAACACGATGGAGACACTGCACTGGATTGCGTGTTTGATGATCAGGGGATGATGGTCTGTGTATAAGTATAGAGTCACTTCCCTTTCTTTTCATCATCAGCCAGCTCAGTCAGTCGCTTGTCTCTTCACTTCAATCACTTCACAGTCCTACTCCGTGTAGCCTCATTCACTCGAAACAATCATTATGCGTTTCCAATCCATCATCGCCATCGCGCTCCCTGCGCTCGTCCTTGCGGCTCCTACTCCTCAGGACCCCGAGTACGAGTTCCCCGAGGATGCTCCCGTTGACGACATTGTCGGTGGAACTGCTGCTGCCTCTGGCGACTTCCCCTTCATTGTCAGCCTTCAGAAGAACGGACAGCATCTCTGCGGTGGTTCTCTCTTGGACGCCACCACCGTCGTCACTGCTGCTCACTGCTCCGTGAGCTCAGTCATCGGCTCTGTCAGCACCCTCAAGATCCGTGCTGGTAGCCTGCAAAAGGCATCCGGCGGTACATTGGTTGGCGTCTCCTCCGTCACCGTCCACCCCAACTACCGCAGCTCGGGTCAGGATTGGGATGTCGCCATCTGGAAGCTCTCTACTTCCGTCGCTGCCAGCGGCTCCATCGGCTATGCTCGCCTTCCTGCTGCTGGCTCCGACCCCGCTGCTGGATCCAACGCCGTCGTTGCCGGCTGGGGTGCTCTCACTGAGGGCGGCAGCAGCCCTGCTGCTCTCCAGAAGGTCACCGTCCCCATCGTTTCCCGCGCCAGCTGCCGCTCCTCCTACGGAACCTCTGCCATCACCACCAACATGATCTGCGCTGGTTTCCCTCAGGGTGGAAAGGACTCCTGCCAGGGCGACTCTGGCGGCCCCATCGTCGACTCCTCCAAGACCCTCATTGGTCTCGTCTCCTTCGGCAACGGCTGCGCTCAGGAGGGCTTCCCCGGTGTCTACGCTCGCACCTCTGCTCTCCTCTCCTTCATCAACTCTGTTTAAGTGCTGGCTGAACAGACTTGTGCTCGCTACCGAATCATGATGATGGATGGATATGGCTCTTCAGCGAAGAGTCGGATGATTGTGAACGACGATGATATACCAAGTGGTCAGAGGTTTCATGAAGCCTCTTGCAAAACCATGTTTTGATACGCCTTTTTTGTATATATCTATTAGCTACGAAATGCATTCAATAACTTCAAACATCATGCTCAAATCCATTGTAATATGCCTGTGACATCATTTTCGCATCAGTCGATATCATCGATCAAGATTTTGTCAACACCATGTGTCCTTTTTTTCCTGAGATCCGAAAATACAATCTATACGAGACCAACGCATGCGAGGCCGCGTGTACTTTCCCAACACTACACCATGACGTAGAAGCCCAACGACTTTCTGCCAGGTGCCGGATCCCCTCGAGCCTTTTAGACAAAACGGTGTGGGAAAAACGAAGGAAGTGCCCGTTGAGCGGGATGATGCTTGTAGGGCTGAGAACAGCACAAGCTTCGCTGTCGCATATTACTTTTTTCTCTTATATTTAGACATGTTTTGACACATGTGTCAGGTTATGGAGAGAAAGAAGAGACACAGCTGGCGTGTAGGATAAATTCTCTGCGATCGCGATCGCACAGTGATGATGGCGGTCTTGTCGTCTTTTGATCAGGCGCGCGGAAAAGCAAAACATAGGTTGTCAGCATTATGAATTTGATGTGAATTTTCTGGAAGCAGAATTCATCGGGTACACGTATCGCAGAAGAAGCAACCATGGTTTTACGAATACTTCGGTATGAACACACCATGTGCGACGGCGTGTGCCTTTTCGATGTAGAACACTGGCTGTCACGATGATGTGAGACCTCTGAAAATGTAACCACAAGGCCAAGTACGGGGGTATTTTTGGCTTACAGCCCAAGAAAGACATGTTTGGGTCGTGGTCAAGTTTTTGATCTAGATCTGCAGCGCATGGGGGTCTCTTTGCAGCGCCTGGATCGGAGCGATCACTTTCTCCCAACATTACGTCGAGGCCTAGGTTATTTGGGGAAAGCGGAAGAACTCCATAAATTATCGAGATGGCTGTTTGGAGTACGTAGCAGACATCGGGGCTTGACATCCAGTTTTTGGTGAATTTGGACCGGGTATTGATGAAGAAGAAGACTTGGAGAGAGCATAAGACAGACTTTTATATGTCCCGGTCCCAAGACGAGCTTCTAGCTCAATGGTATAACCCTTGCAAGACCAAGGTGCTTGTTGCACATGAAATGGGCACTCAGGGTTTTGAAGTCGATGGCAAAACGCCGTACAAAAGCCGTTTTTCTTTTGCTCAAGAACGAGGTCGTAACACATTACAATTATTCTCCATGACTTCTGATGTTCGTAGTGATTGGAGTATTGGAAACGCGCTCGATGAAATCGGAGGAAGCGGACTTTGGAGCAAGCACACGCCATATCCTGATGCTGATCTTCTTTTGGTCCACAGTGGTGGAAGAATGTTATGAGGAGAAAAGAGAACCCCAGCACATAGAGCTGGAGCATTCAACCTTTTAAGCAAAGCAGAAGTTTACTGGACAAGAAGTTCAGTTGACAGCAGAGAACATTCAAGTATTGGGAGTAGTTTTCTCGACGACGGTCTCACATCCACATCATGTCTTTCGTTTTTTGATAATCGTAAATGAACACAGCAGCCGAGTCAGCCGCACATGCTTGCTGTGTACGCTTTTTTTGTGAAAAGGCAGGAAGCGGACATAGCCATGATATCTTGAAATTTTGGACAAGACTCAGGGAGCATGAACAATAGAGGCGTGGCTTTCCATCTGCTGTTGACGTTTATATATCTTGAGCATCATGCCGGAGATGCATGTTGAGGGCCCATATCAATGGTACGAAACATTGAACTGAAGACTGGTATCTTTGGCAGTCTGGTCTTTTGAAACGCATTGCCACATACTGTTCAAGTTCTGAACAAGGACAGTGAATCGAACGCCGGTACCATGACATTTTTCTCCTGTGTTTTTGGAACTCGGAGGGGAGTCACACATCGGGCACACGACCTTGTCTTTTGAGAAATGGATATGAGGAATTGAGGAATATAGAAGGATCGTAGGTGAGCACTGACTGGAGATTTATATAGATGGACTGGCGAAGAGGAAACGTGACATGCATACATGAGTGACTATTTTCAAAAACACATGACGATAATCCCATGGTAATCGCGAAAGGTTCAAAAGAGGTACACATTGAGTTATGTGATTAATGAGATTCTGTAATGGAGGAGCGCCTTGTTGGTCGCTCCTCTCGGGTATTGTAGATAGTAGAATATACATGAACTGAACGAACTCTCATCTCACCATCGTACACGCACTTCTTCATCCTGACCTTTGTGTCTCACATGCATCCCCACTGAGTCGTACTTCTTTAGTACCTTCCGCTCTCCCTTCGTCCAACACCAAGGCTTCCATACGGGTTACTTCTGCCCAAGCTCGCCGACTGACCCAGTGTCTTCTCACCGCTCTCCCTCGCAGCGCCTAAATTGCCGAGACTGATCCTCTTTAGAGGGCTGACGTCCCGCTTGCTTGGACTAGCCCTGCGCTCGAAAGCACCGCCGAGACTATCCCTTCCGCGGCTCGCGCTCCTCTCGCCATCTCTTGAGAAGTTTGCACTTGCGGACTTCCGTAAAGGAGACGCGGCATGAGTGTTGACCCCCAGGTATCCGCCGTCGCTAGGCTTGGTATTGGTTCGGGGAATGGTGGGTGCCTGACGGAAGGGATTGGGCGTTTGCGAGGGTCGTATCGGAGAGGAGAAGTCGGCGTCTGTAGCTGTGGAGGTGGTTGTGTATTGTGAGGTGCCACGATCTTGGTGGACCGAGGATCTTCGTCTCGAGGAGCGTGTGACAGATGGAGATTCCATGTTATCAGGATCGTACTGCGAGGCGTAGCTTACGTTCGGGTTCGTGCGGAAGGTTTTACGGTTCACGATAGTAGTCGGTGTGTATGTGACGATTGAGCTCGCAAGACCGTGGCTACTGCCCTTGACACCGACGCTCAAATCTCGGGTTCGGTTTGTAGAGATGGTCTGTATTCCGACGTCGCGGCATGGCTTCTGTAGTGAGGGGTGGACAAATTTGCTGTCGTACTCGTGAAGCACCTGGCGACTGATGAGAGAGTTGTCCTTGGCCTGCTGCATAAAGGAGCTCCTAAGCCACCAAAGATGAAGCGAGAGCGCGGCTCCGATGAAGATCGTCGTGGTCACCCTGACGCTCGGTCTGGGATCTAAGGGAGCGACGGGGAGGTTGAAGTAGTAGAGCACCACATGCAACGGGCTGAACAGGCAGAACAGCTCCAGGCATAGCGGGTTTGGGTCCCAAACGGCGACTTCCCAGACGTCCCTGCCCTCGACAGGATGCGCTCTGCTCGCCGCGTTGTTCTGTACCAAGCCCCTCACGAACTGCATCGGACTCGCTGCGGCAGGCGATGAGTCGACTCGGACACGCTTCGCGCTGGGCGTCTGTGGCGCAACATCGACACTCTGCTCGAAGAGACGGTAGTACCTCCTCTTACCCCAGACCATAAACGCGTTGACAAAACTGGCTGCGCCTAGGACCAGGACCAGCAAGCCCATGATCCACTTTATCCATCCGGGGCCCTGCACCTCGTTGAAGACACCATCGTCGTCCGAAGCCGTGGATGCGCCGCTGTTGGCTTGTGCGAGTACGAAGAGGAGGTTTGCGCCAAAGCCGATGTAGAGCGCATATGCAGATGCAAAGTCCTCCCAGTCAGAGCTGTTGAGTTCCTCCGAGATCCAGATGAGCCAGTCGGACAGATCGAAGTAGGCTTTGATGCGTTCCGAGAGCGGTGCGCGGCGCACGAGAGGAGGCATGGCGCGGTGGTATTACGATTATAAGTGCTAAGGGCGAGTCCCAGGTTGTAGAAGAGAAATGGGAGAAGGTGGAGTAGCAGCAGGGCTCAAGTCATGGTGGTGCGGCGACAATGAAGAAAGCGCGAAGGGTGAAAGAAGCGACAGTACAAACAGTTGGCCTAACGCGGACTAGGCCCTGGTCCCGCCCATGACGACGGCGCGCGGGAGCTCCAGCTTCAGTGCAGCCAAGCTCCGACCTCACGACAGCTGCCTCACTACACTCTCACTATGGCAGCACCCGCGGCACAGTACAAGGACAGGCAGTTCCTCGCCGTGATAGGCGATGAGGTATGCATCTCGCGGCTTCCCCATTTGGCGGATCAAAGGCGCTAACCGGTCGCAGGACACTTGCACGGGCATGCTGCTTGCAGGCGTAGGCGTAAGCTATCCTCGACTACGATACGCGACGTAGACAAGAGACTGACGGGTATCGTAGCATGTTACCCAGCCGCCGGACAGCCAAAAGAACTTCCTCGTTGTAGACGCAAAGACCGAGACCGCGACCATTGAAGCTGCATTCGACCGCTTCACCACCGAGCGCAAGGATATCGCGATTCTGCTCATCAACCAGCACGTACGTCTTATGCGCCCCGGATGTGGCGTTGGGATCTAGAAGGATGCCAGAAGTTCTACGGACTTGTAGGCTGAGACATGTCTAACCACCCACAGATCGCCGAGAAGATACGACATCGAGTCGAGACATACACCGCTGCCTTCCCCTCCCTCCTTGAGATCCCATCGAAAGACCACCCTTACGACCCCGAGAAGGACAGTGTGCTGAAGAGGGTGAGGAGGTTGTTCGGAGAGTAGATTTTGGACTTAGGAGACTGGCGGAAGATGAGAGCACCAGAATATGTCGCATACACTACTCTTGGATGGGTACTAGGCATGTGCCGCCGGCAATTATCTGCGCATACAAGCTACAACGTCAATGAATATGATATCCAACACTACAGATACAAGTCGTACTATGGAGAGTGTTATTAAGTCGATGCGTGTCCATCGTATGTACATTAATTCGTCATTATATCCTCAATTCACTGGCCACACATCAACCTTAAGCTGGCACTGTCATTGCGAGGTACCGGCAATGGACCAGCCCATCGGCAAACAGACGAACTGGTACATTGCAGGTACCTCGTAACACCAATGCGAGTTCAAGTTCAATGTGTGGATCTTACTGGAACCCTTGGTTGGGAAGCAATGAAACCAAAGCTTACAGTCGAGACATGCTGATATCGCGAGTCAAAACAAAGAGAATCCGCCAAAAATGGCTTACAGCTCATTCCTCCGCCTTAAACGCTCCTGTACCAGACCAGCCAAAGGTCCACTCATCTGAACCCTAGGTTGTCCCATCTTAATCTTGCTGCCACTGCCTACATTACTTTCCTCCGCGTTTCCCCTGCATCATTGAATATCAGACATCCTCGTTGCTCATCGCGTGTTGTAGAGTCGTTACGAAGTGAGGCAATTTACCGGTGGAAAGCGATCTTGGCGGTGAGGCAAGTAATCTTGTCGCCCTCTGCGGTGAAGACATCGGCGAGGACGGTGTATGTGCCCTGGCATGCTGTCAGTACTCTTCTATATTCGTCGCAGCTTGAAACGTACCGGAGGAATCTCCCTGGGCAGATCAACGTCCTTGGTCAGGCTCATCTCGCCCTTCTCGAGAGGGCACTCGAGGTCACCCTTCTTTATCGTTTCGCAACCATCCGCGTTCTGGTTGATGAGTGTGATGAGGCCGTACTTGACTTGCAGGTGCATCTTGAAACCCTCACCGACCTCCTCCTTGAAGTCGCCTGTGGCCTTGATGCTGAGCTTCTCGCCACTGTGTACAAGTTAGCTCCAGTCTTTACACTCTTGAGATTCGCGAAGCTTTCATGTGCGCGATTGCGCAGCTACACGATACTTCGACGAGGAACACGTACGGCTTGGGTGGATTGGGGCTCAGGTCGACCTTCTCAATCTTCAGAAGATCGTCGGCTGGGTCGCCGCAGAAGTACAGAGGGTTGTCGCCTGGGACCTTGTATTCCTCCTTAATCGTGACCTGGTCGCCACCCATCCATGAGGGCGATGCGGTGACAGAGACGGCGCTCAGCGCGGCAAGGAACAGGGTGGTGAGCTGCATGGCGGCGGTGAAGACAGCTGCGGTACAAGAGACGAGCTGTGGTGGTGTTGTTGTCGCGCGATAAACACGACGGGAACAACTTCGATGTGGATTCGAAGTTGGGGAAGGATGGTTGGGGTTGCTGTGGAGAATGGAGAGCTCTGGTAGTGGTCGAGGCTGGCGTCTAGATAGCGGCCGCTGTTGGATCTTGCTGAGGCTGGGGCTGGGGCGAAGCATGGACCCTGCAGCCAACGTCATCGCTGTTGGTCACGCAGCACGCGTGGGTCTTCCGCTAGCACCATCTGGGCTTGACATGTACACATGTACTGCACGTTGTGCCGTCGTGCATTCGTCTTGTGGAAACATAGCAGTAGAGCGCAATAGCGACGGACTTTTGAGCAACTTCTAACTGATCAACGAGTGACTGCATTGAGCGAGTTCTGGAAATCTGAAACCCGATTTCCATGATAGAGGTATGCCTGGTGACGGTACGTATCTGAGATCGATTCGGAGCCATAATAGCATTCCGACATTCTAGGCGGTGCCTGCGTGCTTAGAGTATCTTCGCGCAGCATCCAAAAACAGACGATCCAGCTCGGCCGCAGCAGTTTCATTGCTGACCTTCAGTTTCAGAGTTCGCCGTCCATGCGAGACTCCGTCATTTATCCATTCGTTTGAGCCATCTTCAGCGTTGATCTTGTTGTAGCCGCGGTCTTCTGCAATGTCGAACATGTCTCCAAGGCCATTCGCAGCATACATGATAGTCTACACATGGGCGCAAGAAGTCAGCGTATGCCTCGCAAGCAATTCGTAAAGGGATACCTACAAGTGGATCCCAACTAGGTAGCGGCTTCCCGAAGCCATAGTAGATGTAAGCCATTCGGATTGGGTCGTCTTCCAGATCACTCGCCATCAGCGGCCCGCCTATCAGTACATCTCTGCCGACAGTAGTGCCTACAAACGTTATTGGGCCGTCCCATGTGTCTAATACATGAGCAGCGAGGGCGGGCTTGGAGCCCCAGAAGTTCCAGCTACGACCCTTCGGATACTTGCCACCCATGACGACGAGCTCTGCCACTTTAGTCCTGGCAAGCTCGCGACCGTCAAGCCGAGAGTACTCATCGGGTTTGGAGTCCAGAAGTCCAGAGAGCTGTAGGAATTAGCGACCAGCTGTCAATAGACAAGAGCCACATTATGAAAACGCACATTATCGAGGAAACCGATGGAAGCAATCGTCACGCTTCCGTCTTCTGATTCAGAGAGCAGTTTTCTGTACAGGACAACTGGATCCCATGCCTTGTCTGCCTTTCCCCATGGTAGAGTGCCTCCGGACCAGTGGTAGGCCACTTTACTCGTGTACTCGCCGCGCTTGTAGTCCCAGGCGTCAAAGAACCTCACGTCGTTCATTGGACGACGGATACCAATAGGTGTCTTGGGGTGTCCATAATGTGCGACAATAGCAGATGCTGCGAGAGCAGAGTATGAACAGGGGTGGTTGACGTTGACACCGAGAAGGTTGACATTGGGGAGAGTTGCGCCTAGCAGCAATGCGCCCGCATCACTAGTACACTAGTAAGCTTCTTGTGACATGAGAACGAGGCTATGCGTACTCAACATCGCTGTGCAAGTCGGTGTCGATGATGAGGTTCTTGCGCGTTGTCATTGCCTGGAAGTTGACGAGAAGGGAAGCAGTAGAATGCCAAGGTAAGTTGAGAGGCCCGTAATATCTGTGAATATCTAGCGTGTATCTTGTAGTGGAGTGGAGAGCTGGGAACGTTTGGCCGTCAACCAAGCATGAGGGGTAGCTCGCAGCCTCAGGCCCACCGGTTCTACCAATCATGGCCTAGCCCACAAGAGGCAGTCAGATAGATATGGGCGCCTACGTATCTGGCTTGCCTGAGGTTTTGGACGAACAAGTCAGCAAACATGGTTCTGACAAGCCAGCTGTGTTACGATGTCACATCAATTCCCTGTCTTGTTTCGTCCATAGTGGGGCTAGAAAGGTGCTTGAAGCTTTCAGCTTTATAAGAGACCTATTACTGAGGCTGGAGAAGTTTACATCGGCGGTGGATTTAGATCAAGGCCCTCAACGCTGAGCTTGAAGCTGTCCATCCGCGAATAACTTCCCCCAGAGTCGAAGTCGAGTCTGCCACGCTCACAATCGTCAAAATCGACGTCTGCAACTAACAACTCATCTTCTTGCTCCCATACCGGTCCGGCAAGCACCTCGCCCAAGGGTGATACTATCATAGAGCCGCCTCGTGAAACGTATTCCTCGCCGTCCGCTGACTGAGGCTGCGAGAAGGGTTGTTGCTTGGGGCTAAGCGCATCTTCTGCAGTGGATGAGGAGTCAATCGCCGATGAATCGCCCTCAGTCGCCTGTCCTTCTGGTATTGGTATGCAAATTTCGTGACCCTCCGGCGTCTTCGTGATGGTACTTCGTCGTCTGCCAGCGACTCCATTACTCTGTTGCGAGAGGCTCCTGCCGACGCCGCTTCTGCTCGCATAGCCCTGCGATTGTGCTTTGCCGGTGATCCATTCTGGGAGGTGTTTCTTCTTGACGCATTGGTTTGCACTAACCACGAAGCATCGGCCTTCGCAGCCTACCGTGCGCATCAGCGACGTCCAAGCATCGCGTGCATCTGCTGTCGGCGCAAACCACAGGTTGACGTTCTGGCTGTACAAGCTTTGCCTCAGCAATGGCATGTAGTTCTCCCAGCAAATCGCCGACCCCATACACAGTTTGACACCCTTGATTTCCGTTGTCACGGCCCTCAGTGTACTCGCACTTCCCATGCCCCAAATCAGCCTTTCGCTGCCCGTCGGCATAACTTTCCTCCTCTTGCCCAATACACCCATCTTCGGATCGACGAATACAACTCCACAGTATAGTGTGCCACCCGACTTCTCCACAATCCCCGTAACAACAAAGACCCCCGTCTCTCTTGCTATCCTCTCTAGCTCCTCTCGTGTCCCATCACCCCTGTATTCCTTCCCTCTCGGTAGCTCGAGCTTCCGGTCTAGCCAATCTTGCCCAGCGCCGCTCGGTGTGTCGCCCATATCGACAGCATCGTGGAAATAGTGCAGGAATTGCTCACGACCTTCGGGTGCGCGACCACCAACCGCAGCGCCAAAAGCGCAAGTACGAGGATATCCACCCAGGTATGCTTCTGGAAACAGGAGGACATCGATGCCTTGGGATGCGGCGCGTTTCGTTGTCACTTCGAGAGCGGCGAGGGTCTCGGCGGTTGTTGAGAGCGTGCGGGATTGCGCGGATGCGATTTTGAGAGTTTGGGGCATTATGGATGGAATTAGAAGAAAGAAACAAGTGCTTATGGATGGCGGAGTGAAGAGCACGCGAGAGAATGAAGGGAGGTGATGGCGTATGAGCTTCCGAAGCTTGCCGTGATGGCAGCTGAGCTTCCCGAGCTACCCCGCTCGTAACCCCCACCTCGAACGAGCAAAAGAAAGCATCTCCAACATCGAAGTGGAAGGTAGCTTTTGACGCGTCGCGGTGTTAGGGGAAACGCGGATAGGGCCGAGAAACGAATGATGATCTCGGTGGATGCTTGTGGATCTGCTAGACAGTCGAAGCTTCCACAACTCCACACCACGACGTCACACTCTGATGAACACTAGCAGGTGCAGAATTTCTTCTTCCTATGTAGATTTTACATCGTAACAGTCCTACTTTCAATCAAACTCGATAAACCATAAACCTCACAAAATGTCGCAGCCCGTCGACGTACCAACCCATCTCGACTCCCTCATCACCTCTTCGCACCCCCAACTGCGCGATGCCGTCCTCCCAAAACTTCTCAGCTCCATCCACACAATAGCCGGACACCTGCGCACCTCTCCATCGGTAACCCAAGTCGGAACCGCCAATGCCTTTGGCGACGACCAACTGAACGTGGACGTCCTGGCCGAAGAAGCGATCCGTAAAACCATCGACTCATGCCCAGCTATCGTAACAGCATCCAGCGAAGAAGACCCTGTCGAGAAATCATCGAAATCTACCAGCAGCGAGGATCAAGGCAAAGAAGTCTACACACTCGCCTTCGACCCGCTAGATGGCTCCTCCATTATCGCACCAAACTGGAGTGTAGGCACGATAATCGGAGTCTGGGAAGGAGCATCAGCCCTACATCAATCGCCGGACACGAAGCAAATCGCCTCGATACTGGGTGTACTAGGCCCACGTACTACCGCCATTGTCGCCCTCCGCTTGCCAGGTACCAAGGGTTCATGTTTCGAAGTCGGATATGCAGATGATGGCGCCATGCAAGTCATCCGCCCAGACGTGCAGTTGACGCAAGCCTCTGAAGTAAAGACGCGATATTTCGCGCCGGCGAACATGCGCGCAGCGGCCGAAGACCAGAGGTATCTGAACCTGGTCAACCGGTTCATCATGCAAAAGTACACGCTGCGATACAGCGGCGGCCTCGTTCCGGATGTTGTACATGCGCTAGTCAAGGGTCATGGTGTGTACATTTCTCCGGTTACGGAGCAGAGCAAAGCCAAGCTTAGGCACCTCTATGAACTAGCGCCTATCGCGCTGATCTTGGAATGTGCTGGAGGTGCGGCATTGGATTCTGCGACGGGGAAGAGAGTCTTGGAGACAGCGATCGAGGATACGGATGAGAGGGGTGGGTTGATCTGTGGAAATAAGGATGAGGTTGAGGCTGCAATGAAGTCTTTACTTCAGTAGACGGAATAATTGAGAGATTAATCTATCACAATTGATGTGTCAAGAGATGCATCTAGATGAATGAATAAAGAGGGTCTAATATTAGGAGGCTCTAATGTAATTCGATCCGTACTCGTCGTCCTTCTACCAGTATCCAATATGTAGCCAGTAACAACAAGGGAAGATAAGGGGGTATATGTCATGACTAACTCATGACGGAAGTATGCAACGAGGCATAGCCATCGTGCCCTGAATGTGTGCACTCCTCAAATTAGAAGCGGCTGTAATGTCGTAGCGTGCTCAAGGAATGTCTTGAGCCGTTGGAATAAGAACAAAGGGAAAGGTATATGGGTCTAGAAAACCAAAAGGTCGACGAAACGATGATACGGGTGATACAGACAGAAAAACGAACGGCAAGAATTGGCTCAGTAAGCGCGACCGGCTTCTATATCGCCCTCGCGACTCCGTCCACGAGTTGCTGATGTGCCTCTACTGCCTGGTCGTAGCGCTGCGCAAACTGTCTTGCAGCCATCCCGCCAACCAGACTGCGATGACACGGGTAGCGCAGTGAGCTCCTTAGTGCTGTGAAGACTGGCCTGCTCGTAAAAATCCCGCTCTTCAACCTCGACATCCAATTTGTTGGTTATATGGATGCCTTCCAACGGAACGTCACCGCGAATCGATCCAGCAGTGCACTGTGATCGCTGTGTCGAGTGCTGTGATGCTTTCCCAGTGAAGCCTTGCGATAGTGTATTTGACGACGGGCCGGACGCTTGACCGGGGATTCCAGTCTGAGAGTAGCCGGCGCGCGAGGTGTACATGCTGAAGTATCGACCGAGGAAGACTTTGAGCGAGGGCGCTGACGCGCACATTACGGCGAGCTGGGCTTCGAGTGTCGTCCAGATCCAGCCAGAATACGCTGCCCAGGTGATGTCGTAGGTGACTAGACCAGAGAATTAGTTTTGCTAGATGACGATTCAAGAAGATAGATCCATACAGTAGTATAGCTTTGCGGCATAGAACGTTCGCATCATACCGCAGATGCATGTTATCAGGCCCACGCCAAAAATGGCACACAGGCCGATCTTTTGGCGTTTGCTGATCTGGAGGTTCCAAATCAAAAGCACTGGTAGCAGGCAGATGATGAAGTCCTGGAACAGTGAAATCACCGCGCATGCAACAATAAGGGCCCCCTCGTTGCGACACGTCAGTTCATTCTGCAGTCTCCAGGATATGTCGAAGAGGCGGAAGAATCCTATAACCGGTGTACATGTGAAGACAATGGCAATAGTAAAGGCGATTCCGTAGATGATGCAGAAGGCGATGGTGCCGTAGACCCCTGTGGAGCAACGTTAGCTTCTGTGTGGACCAGGCTGGCTTTGGCGAGATACTTACAGTAGATAAACTGATTCGTCAGACGATCACCGATTCGGCGGTAGAAGCAAAGGATCGAGACTTTGATCAGCGTCGAGGTTAACATGTAGTTAAGTTCGATTGCAAAAGCGATCTCTCTTGTCGTTACTAGCGTTTCTTTGGTCTGGTCCCAGACGTGCCATTGGAAGCCATAGATACGAATACCTGCGTTTGTTAGCAAAGACCACTTTGAAAGGAAGCGATACACACCAAGTACGCTTGATATGGTCAGACCGAATAGCGGCAGCATTGCCATGCTGACAAGTATGTCATCCAGCCCAAAGTTCTTCGATATGACCAGCCTTGCCCACATCCGCGCACAGTATACCAGGAAGGTGATGCCCAAGACGACCATGAGCAGTATTGGGGGCCCCCAACCTCGTTCCTCCGGGTCGACATAATTCGGTTTTGGCCAGCTGAGAAGGACTTCTGGTGGAGGATGTAAACCGCCTGCACGAGCGACGAGGCTGCCGCCATAGGATCCCAGAGTGTTTCCGTCCATATTAGGAAATACCGGCGTAGTAGCAGCAGGCCTAGCTGTCGGGGTGAATGTGACACGAACTGACCATCGCAAACAGAAACGACGCCCGGGATATGAGCCAGATCTATACACACAAGAGTCGGGGGTCCAAGACCAATGACTCCGCTAGTAGTTAGCGGGGTCCATATCTTCCCGCACCTCAAACACTGTGGAGTGATCTACGCCACAGTACGGGTCCCCTAGTCTTGCATGGCGTATATGGACTATTTCGCCGACTGCTTCCATTATTAGGCTCTTTCCGTGAGAGCTTCCAAGAAAGTTGCGGTGAACATTGGGGGTACAAGGCGGAGTCATGTGCTGTCAGCTTCGCGACGTAAAGAAGTCGCTGTAGTTTTGCGCATAGCCCTGGTAAGCGTGGCGTTGTGTAGAAACCCGGAGGCGCGTAACAGTGAACGTAGCCGAAGGCTATACTGACCCTGCGACCGCCTTGCATCGTGGAACGCTGATCTTTGATCACCATGAGGCAGGGAGGTTTGATCGCACACGTGGCATGTGTAACAGGACGTTTGTTGGCGTTGCTTCTGCAGGTGTTTGAAGATCGCGCGACCCGCTGTAGCGGTAAATGATCCACGCGAGCGTATGGAGCTTGAGCTTGCCCAGGTGCGAAGCGACTCTTGGGGTAGGATTGCCGATGCCACATACTAGTAGTCGAGCTAGAATCATCACTGCTACCCGTGTGCCTGCAGATCTGCGACGTCCCCACAGGAAAACGGCTGGTGGTGGGTTGTGATCAATAACCCTGGGCCATGAATTTTCGTCGAAAAAGAGAAGAATTCAAATGCGTTGAGACATCGATGTCCAAGAATCCATGTACAATCGTGCGCATACCTGCCTTACATCATCATGGTGATGCATGTCAAGGAAAGCTAGTTCTGAACCCAACCTCGAGGCAAAATCCATGGCGATCATAGAGCGGTGCGCAATCATGGAAAGCTTCAACGACAAGACGCCATAGTATGCGACTGCATTAGGTGCGCTTGTCACAACTACCGAGGATTTGCAACCGCAGTTCCAGATTAGCATTGAGGTGTCGAACATATGCAGTCGCCCTACGAACGATTCCCGTCGCGAGTAAGAGGCGGACCTAGGCTAAGGCTAACGGACGTCTGAATAACGACTTGAGTACCGCTAAACGCGTAAAAGGCCCTACCAAGACCAACGGATGCTTGTCGTTTTACAAATGCTAACCGGGAATTTTGGCAGTCTTCGAATAGGGTTGCGCTCGCTGCGGGACTTACCATGTCAAAACTCAATTTAGCGATCGACAGCCACGCGACTGAGGCGTTCGTGACGAGACGTTGTACGCGCAAAGTCGGCGATAGAAGTTTGTAAAGTGTCAATAACCGCTGCAAGGCTCGGGAATATGGATGAACGTGCGTGATGATGATGATTGAACATGGTAGGTGCTAGAGATTGAGCCTGAGGAATCCATCGAAGAATGCTGACATCATCGGCAGCGCACAGACTTCAGCAGGAAAGCTACACCATTCAGTCAAACACGTCCTCCCCGCATCCCTTTGACCCCTGTTTGGTTCACACCTCAGGCAGAATCTTCCACATTCCAGGCAGAATTTGACTCCACGTATCGGGATGCCTCTGTCGACCTCGAGATCGGGCTTTGAGCGACGGCCTTCGTTACCAACCGGCAACGTCTACTCCGAGATGACCTTTCGTCTGAGCTCAGGGACTATTCGAAATACAATTGAAGATCTCTAAACGCTACATCTCTAGGTACTAGAAGATCTGCCGTGCTCACTCACCACGTGGAAAGCCTAGCAAATGCTTCCATCGCCTTTAGTACAGCCTCGGCTGCTTCTGACTGCGGAACAAGATCGACACATGCATCAGCGGATTGTCCCGAATGCGCCACCTCCACAGCATCGTCTGTCATCCCCTTACCGCCTTCCATATCCTCGTTATTGTAATCGCCTGGATCTTCGCGCGCAGCTTTTGCCAGAACTGGTTCGCTTCCAGTCGGATCACGATAATCCCATGTCCCAGGCTTCTTTCGATGTATTGCATGCAGCTTGGCAGGCTGTCTACGGCCACCACCCGCACCAGGACGCTTCCGTGGCTTCGTAATCATTCCGTCTGCAGGCTCATCCTCCACGCCTCCAAACCCGTCCTGTCGCATGAATTGATCGAAGAACTGCATGCGAGGTTCATCAATCTTGAGCACTGCCTTACATGCGCGATAGCCCTTCTTCAGCATTGCTGCGACGTACTTGTTGGCGAAGTGTTGTATCCTGTCCTCCTCAACTAGCCCGGTGCTGTCCATTGCGGCGTCATCACCGGAGCCAAGAGTGAGACTGTCGAGAGCTACTTCCGCACGTACTACATCGATCAGGCAAGCCGGGCAGACGAACGGCTTGCCTTGCATCGGTCGCGCACAGGTCACACCACAGCTTGCGGTATACTCTGTTTGGATCCTGTGGCCACACTGTAGGTCATGGAACGTCGATAATGGGTTGCATGGACTGTACATGTCGTGGAAGTGCTGATCACTCTCTTGGGTCTGCAGCTCACGCTGTTGCCTTTCGGTTTCGGCTACCTTGTTGTGGAAGGCATCGATGATAGCGCGAGCTTGTGCAGGAGCAGCGTGCATGTTTACCCGAGAATCACCCCGGGCAGCTGAAATGATGCAGTCGGTAGCCAGGCGTGTAGTTTTGATGTCGCATTCGAGCTGGTGATGAGATTGTCTACGTTAAGAGATGGTTGGTGTTGTGCTTGGGTAGCAGAGGTTGTCGACCCGGAGGGAGAGTCATGTGTTGATAGGGGAACTCCGCGCGTGACAAGATGCGCAATGCCGAGGACGGCTGACTAATACGGGAGCGGAGCCTTGTGTCAATAGCACCGACTCACGGTAAGACACCTGTACAGAAATTTGATGAGAAGTCTTATTTGTGTATCTTCATTCGACTCACAGTAATGTCGAATGGTGGGTAGTGCAGCTCGACCCCTTCCTCATTCTCAATTAAGACAACCTTGCTCACAGGCCATCCATTGCTGTCATGATAGCCGTCGAAGTCGAACCAATCGCACGATGCCAATCCTGGAAAGATCATCCTCCAAACCTGCGCTCCAGGTCCAAATTCATCTGTCTCGCCTACGCCCTCCGCCGGCTCCAAGACAACTCCTTCCGGTGTAGAGAAGTAGCGTGGCTGGGCATCCGCGGTCCAGGACAGGCGATCTATTGCTTCGAGCGCGGATGAACCGTTCACCATGAGCGAGCGAATATACAAAATCTGGTCTTGGATCTCCAAGTTGGCGTAAGTGGAGGAGTTTGAGAGCGCGGTGGCGACTTCATCAGCAATGAGTCCAGTGTCTTCACCAGCGCTGTAGAACCCTGCAAATCGCTCCTTCGTTCTTGTGCTCAATGCTTCTGCGAAAGCAGGCGCAAGAATAGCATGTACTGTATCTCTGACAGTACTCGTTGAGATACCTGCGTAGTCGGCCAGACCAGATCCTTGCACGAGCACGATTATGCCATAACCGAGATTTGGTATGGCGTCGATCCAGCTATGCCAGCCTCCTCCATCGCCGGACTTGCCAAAGATGCTATATGTCTTCATACTGTCTTCCGCCAGACTAGCATTTTCACTCGTCGGTAAGTTCAAGATCTCGATCTCCCAGCCTGGGCCGCTCTGCTGTTTGCCGTCTGCAAGTATGACACTTGGCTTCATGACTTGACGACGCTGGAAGGGCGTGATGAGCGTAGGGTCGGGCGCGAGCCATAGGCCATGCATGTACCTGGTGAGATCGTTTGCAGAACCCCACATGCCGGCTGCTGGGTCGTAGCCTTCGCCTACGATCAAATCGACCCAACTGTCACCGCCCGGTACGGTTATGTCTGGGATAAGATCTTGCGGCACAGTGCCAAAGAAGCTATGGGTCATGTTCAATCGCTGAAGAAGTTCCTGCGATGTCAGCTCAGACCAGCTGAGAGATGAGGAAGTGATGTTGTTGTAGTATGTCGCTATAGCAGCTAGCGGTCGATTAGTCCATGTTCTCGTTAGTCGCATGCTATATTCACTCACCACCTAGAATACCCAAGCCTGCATTCGAATCTGTCCGTGTCAGTACGTGTCTCGTTAGCAGGAGGAAGTCGCTTACAAGCTGCCCTCTGGCCTGGCGCAAACATCAGGTTCTTCATTGCTATCCCATCAATTACATCCTGGGCAGTTTCACCCGCCCATGCGGCTCCAATGGTCGGCGAATCTGCTTTTCCCGTACTAAGAATCATGTTGAAGCCAGTGCTGTAGCTTTCCCTTGGTATACCCGCTGTGTGGCTGGCAAGCATACGCAATGTGATCTCGCTGCCGCCATCGTTCCAGTCTCTCTCAGGCAGACCGAAAGAAGGAAGCAGTTGGCGAACGGGCGTGTCGATAGTCAGGAGTGATGACGACGATGAGGAGTTTTGTCTGAGCTGATTTTCGATGACCAGAGCAGAGGCCATCGCGACGTTTTTTGAACAAGACATCAGACGGAAGACAGAGTCGCTCGTCACCAGATTTGCGTCAGTTGGGCCCACATCCGTCTCGTTGAACTTCAATGTTCCATTGTTGAACACATATGCTGGCTTTGAGCTTGACGCATGAACCTTGTGGTCGTTAACGATGGGCCTTTTGTTGAGATTGGACCTGCACATACAACAGCGAAGCTGAGTCCATCGCGCGTAGTGTTGATGTATAAAGCTGAGAGATTGCGCTGGACTTGTTCAAATGCTGTGATCACTGCCGGATGTTGGAGCGTCAGCGGGTCAGACAGTATCTTGTCGGCGAAGTCGGGAACGCAAGCGCATGCTGCGAAGGAAAGCAGATTTGCTGCAAATGCGAATGTGATCCTCATTGTGAGGCTGTTGTTTTCGAACTCAAATCACAGAAGCGAATGTAGGATATGCGCGAGAATGTCGGGCTTTGGGGGTACTTGTACATTGCGATACAGAAGTATGTTGTGCACAGGTAGATACCGCTGCAACGGTCCAAGAGTTGCGTATGCGCCGAGATGGCATCAGGGATGCAATAAGCCAATGATGTGTTTGTGTTCCTGCAACTAAAAACACCTGCCTATCGGGGCCGATTTGTTTGCATATAGCTGCAGATGATCCATATTGCTTCTGGTTATAGGTACCTTTTCACTTGGGCGACGCTGACCTCAATTACCGTCAACAGTCATAGATCGATCACTTGTTACAAAGCAGTGACCCTGAATAGTTGGAGCCTGTCGCAATGCTTACTCCCGAAATGAGGGCGAGAAGGACCGGATGAAACGTCCATGGATGATCTTCGAAGGACGAGGTTTAGGTCAAGAGTGGGGTGACCCCATGTTGGTACTTGCGCCCCACATCAACGCTTATCTCTAAAGTCAACAGCCTTGCGTTTACACCTTTCATTTCTTCCATGATCGTGTTTCCTCGATACCGGCGACTTTCAATTACTAGTATAAGACCTGCTGCGCCCTGTATTCTGTTCATAGCAGCTCCTTTCTACGCCGCTGCGCCTGAGTTGCCCAGGCGGGAAGGGGACGAAATGTTCAAGGATGTCGTAGACACCTAACAACGCCACCAGCTAGAAGGTGCTTGCCAGACGGCACTGCGAAGTGGTGACAACAACCGCTCGTGACAAGTCAAGCCGAGGTTTATCGTGTTTCGAACTTGTTTGCTACCAATCAAGCGCACGCAGGTCAAAGGTCTTTACATGTGATCTCCGCACACATTGCTGTTGACATACATGTGTATGGCGACCAACTTGACGCGGTCTGAATGTATCAGATAAAGAGTAAATAGCGACACGATTGTGTCGTTCTGTATGTTTGATCTATAGCTTTTTTTCCGTCACCTTCAAATATTGATTCAATTTCGGACGCCAAACTCGACTCAATCACTTGATAGGCCATGTAAGATGAATGAAGTGTAATAAAACGTATATTGTGTGTAAAAGCAGAACCGAGAAGGTAAAGATAACGTATTTGACTTTGCCGCAGCTGGTAAAATGAACCCAACCGTTGTATCATTAACGTAGAAAGAACGTATCTCTGGTCAATGCATCGCGCTCTAAGCGCCTCTGTCGCTCACTCTCCTCTAAACGTTTGAGCCGAGATCTATCGATGTCGAGACCTTCCAGGTTACTTGATGTCCTATCGCCAGAGCCTCTCGCGGCGGTAGGTCGATGGTGCTGCTGCCACGGATTTTGAGACATCAATACCGGCATTGACGGTCTTGAGGCGAGAAACCGTTCGGGAAACATAGGCTGATCTTGCTGTCGTCTCTTCACGCGAGCGCCCTCTTCCAGCGAGTCAAGTCTCAGTTGCAGAGACTCTAACTTCTGCCGTATAGCTTCCGGTTCTAGAGCTTGCGGAGACGGTACAGGGTCGGGAAGTTTCCTATGAGTGCGACGCCTGAATCGTCCAGGTATTCCTGTGGCTGTGCGGATTTGATGGTGTGGCGGGACAGGATGGACTTTATCTGTGCACTCCTCGCCCCGAAAGTATGCTTGTGAAATCTGGCTGTCCAGAGTTTGGGCGCGAATTGGAAGTGCATAAGGAGCTGCGCCGGAGCGTCTAGCCCATTGCGCTGCTCTTGTATCTCCTGTCCTGCTAGCATTAGGCTGGGGTGGAGGAAGTGGAATTCTCTGGTTCTTATCGAGGTTTACGGTGCAAGCCGAAGCGCCGACAGACAGCTCGCCAACGCGTGGTGGTATTGTTGGGTCGTCATCGCATACTCGCTTGGTGCTCTTGCTCTTCAGATCGGCTTCCGAAGTAGCCTTCACTTCAGGCTTTGAAGAGCTCCGAATAGAGGACGTGAGGTTTTGACGCAGCCGATCCAGCGTCTGTACCAGGATTGCGCAATTCTGGCACGGAGGTGTACTGTCGAATTGCGAAGTCGATTGTGATGAGAACGCCTGACTGGAAGCGTTGCTCATGTAAACATGCTGGAAGTTCGGATCCATCTCGCCACAGATAGGATTCGGTTGCTTCGCGTTGACCGAGGGGACGGGCGCGATCGGTACTGGGTCACGCTTATGCTGCCACTGCTGGATCTTTTCTTCCGTGGTCATTGAGCGTGAGAAGTTCGAGAAGAGCGAAGGGCCTGCAAAAGGCGCGAAGTCGGAGTTGCGTTGCTGAACGAAGTCTGCGGGAAGGGTTGCCGCTCTGGCGAGTGGCTTCTGTAAGTGTTTTGATGGTGTATGTGTAGAAATGCCGGGCGCGCGTCGCAGAGTCGGCTCAACGGGACCGCTCGGTCTTCGTAGTGGAGTGAAGTCGGAACTCGGCATGTCCACAGCACTTTTCCTTCCATGCCGGATGACTTCAAGCATTGCGTCGCCTTTGGGGGCTGTAGTCAAGTTCTCGTAACCAGATGAGGTGATGAGAATATCGTCTTCTATGCGAACACCGCCCACGGCCATGTAGCGCTTTAGTACCTCAATATTTATGTACTTGGAGTGAACGGGTGATGGGAGATAGAAATGTTGTAGAGCGTATGCGGAAAAGTAGATGCCAGGCTCGACAGTGACAACCATGCCTTCTTCGAGATGGCTGCTCTGGGGATCGCTAGGCGCGAGGCAAGTCTCAGAGTCATATACCGGGACATGGAAATCCTGTGGATAAAGGGATGGTGCCTGTCATTCTGTTAGCGACTGATCAATATGCGGATTGGTTGAACTTGCCTGCTGGTACACTGGCTTCCCTCTTCTTACACTCATTAGTTGTGCCTGACCCACGTCATGGACTTCAAGGCCTATGTGATGTCCAAGACCATGGGGAAAGAATGCTCTACTTGTACCTGCCTTGTAGATTTCTTCTTTCGTTCCGTGGTGAAGGATTCCCAATTGCAGTAACCCGTCGATCGCGATCTGATGCGCCATGATGTGCAAATCGAGATATCTTACGCCGGGCTCTAGCCTTTTGATACATGTTTCCTGCATACGCTGGACCAGCTTGTAGATGTTCTCGGCTTCTTTGCTTGGCCAAGAAGTAGACAGCGGGAAAGTGCGGGTAATGTCACTTGCATAGAGCTCATACTCGCATCCTGCATCTAAACACATGAGTTGACGACCCGCGAGATCTTCATCGTTCGCGGCATAGTGAAGAGTTCCGGCGTTCGGTCCGGAAGCAGCGATGGGATCGTAGGCCTGTTGCTTCGCTTGCTGCGATATGCAGACATCCATGAACAATCCCTCAACCTGTGCCTCGTTCTTGAAGTTCGTGATGTTAGCAAGGATTTCTCGGTGCGCTTGCGAGCTGATGTCGTTCGCTTTCCGAATAAGCTTGATCTCGTGATCATCCTTGATCATGCGACATACGTTCATGGCGGACCGAAGGGCTATCGAATCAATACGGGGCTTCAGATTGTCGCAACCGGGGAATTGCGATGACTGGTGCAGGACGTAGATGTCAGCCTGCCGGTTACCGATCGCCCATCCTTGCACGGCGTACTCAAGTTCATCTGCGTAGAAAACTTGATCGACATCGTACTTCACGAGTGCCTCTGCTAGGGTGGAGCCACGGCCGTACCAGATAACGCGCTCAGACTTGATGCGGGGAATGAACAAGGACAGTTCGTCGCGTCGCGTGTCGTACGTCAAATGGCAGTCAGGTTCATTGCATCTTCATACCATCAGCACGGTCCTCATTTACTCCCAGATCAACGCACCCGCTCAAGTAATAGAAATATCGGCGTTGTCGAAAAGGTGCTGGCATGTCGCTATCTTCGTTGTTCCTCGCTGGTTGACCCGGTAGGTAGATCAGGCCTTCATCAACACCCAACTTCTCTTGCACCCTCCGCGCATGTTGTTTTGCTGCGCGACGTTAGCTGATTGCGCGACCCACGCTCATCTTCCCAGACTTACCGGGATACTTCTCAAACGGAGTCTCAGCCTCGAGGTGCATCCAGTATTCATTGTCTTCCCATCTCAGGCGCTCAGAGAGACCTTTCGCATCGAGAACTTCCATCGTGTTACCTCGTAATGCCTCTGGGAAGAACTGCGATTGCGAAAGGCTTGAGCTCCGATTGAGATGTGACCGGCGTTTTAGTGTTGTCGAGGATCTCACCGGTAAAGCCACCGCATAGTGCACGTGCCAGCTCGAGCGCTCCGGTCAGTAGGCCGGGAGCTACGATCGTGAACGCTGTCAACACATTCGGCCCCTTACATCTATAAACTGATTGGTGCCGTCGACGATAGTCTCTCTGAGTACACTGGCATCATGGCTGCAGTGCGCCTCCAAACGTGTAGGCCCGACGAAGATGCCCATGTTGCCTTACGACCCCGCGCCTGCGCCTGCTTCCGCTGCCCATCGACTGTGCGACACGAGACGAGGTCGTGTCAAGCGTCGACCTCAACTCATGTGGACATCTGCGGCATGCTCACTGCATTTGATAGGTGACACGATTAGACGTACACCGATTTCGGGTCAATGCAAGAAAGAGAAAGGAAATCGCAAGGTGTCTAATGACAGAAGGATGCTGATTGGTTGGAAATATCTTGACCGGTGAACCGGTCAACACATAGCTAAGAGGCACGTACCCAATATGTCAGACTGAGTAATGTCGCACTGACACCCGACCGGCTCTGGGATCTCGTTTGTTTTAGCTAGTATTTACATCGGATCTGTGCTCTCAGAAAAGATCGCCATTTTGAGGAGGGCGGGGAAGCTGACATCGCTCCATTGCCACCCAAGCAAAGGGCTTTGTGACGTTCCTGGAGGATCTCACGTCTTCGCAGAAGCCCAAGAGATGTTCTATGGGCCTTGTCCAAAACGACATGTTGTCGTCTTGCCCTTATGTTGTCTTTCGTTTCATCACTTTGCTCATTCAGGTCATCAGATCATTTACTATCTTCTCTTTCGTCACCTTCGAAGTCTTCACATCACTCTACTTGGTAAATCATTCCATGTGTGACTGCAAGTTTTCATTCATACTAGTGAGACTACAAAGCAATGGGTATCGCGAAAGACTAGCACCAGAACACCCTTCTTTCATAGCCCCTATGAGGTTCTCAACGCCGTGTAAGCCAAGTAACACCATCCTTTAGTCTCTCCATGAGATCGCCATTGTCGAAACAAAGCCATATGCTCAAGGCCGACCGGGGAGGTTGTCGATGTCAAACCCAAACCCAACCCTATCACCACAGTCCATCCTGGAGGCAATCAGCACTGGGTCGCTTCACTAAGCTCATGTCGATAGCCGCTGAATAGCCCGACAGCCATGTTCAGCGGCGCTGAGCTCGGTTCTCGGCAGCCTTGTTGAAGAAGAGAGTAGGGCGAATGGCAGCGAAACGCGCGCCTTGGGAACGGTGCCAGTAGGGACATGAAGTCTTGCGACAAGGCTTGTGCCTCTTCTCACGATGACACTGATCGCCGTATATCGGACGCTTGACCTCGGGCTCGCTGGGCTCGCTGAGTTTGGGCGCCTTGACGAAGCCACTGAAGGGGTTGTCATCCTGAGCCATGTTGATGTGGTAGTGGGTAGAATTCGACTCGATCTTGAGGAAGTTGTTGTTACCGACGCTGTTGGTGTTGGCGCTGCCGGTAGAGCGAATCACTCCCATGTAGAGATTCCGGTAGTGGTCGCGCTCTTCGCGGAGCTTGGTGTTCTCGACAAGGCCAACCTCGATCGCGCCCTTGTATTGATCACGCTGACGGGTGACGCCATCGAGGCGGAGGGCGAGCTGGGTGTCGGAGGTGTTGGAGAAGATTGGAGCGACATCGCCGTCATCGTCGTCATCGCTGTCTTTGTTGTCACTGTCACTGTCGTTGTCGTTGTCGTCGTCGTCGTCATCGTCGTTGCCGTTGTTGTAGTCGTTGTCGTAGTTGTCGTCGTCATCGGTGACCTCTCCCATCTTCTGCTTCTTCCGCAGGCGCTTTTCGAGGACGATAATATGCTCTTGTAGGCCGACGATGATCTGGGCCTCAGTCTTCTTGGGCGGCTCGTTCTTGATCTTTACAGGCGCCATCTTTGAGGTGATCACTTGGAAACGACTGGATGTGGGAATCGAATTGGTTGCCTTGCTGAGGGCGCTGCCTGTCTTTATGGTAGGAGGGAATGCCGAGCATCGTGAAAGCTAGGAAAAGAGCTATTTTCGGGTGGCAGGCAGGTCTCGACTGTTTTGCCTCCAAGAACTACGTAATCGGGAGCTCAACTACGAAGTGAAGGACGAGTTACGGAAGAATGCTTGCGTACTATTAGTCTATTCTGATAATCGAACAGTCTTCACGAGCGCGTGATTTGGGTCTAACCTATCTAGGTACGAAGTGAGAGTGAGAATCGGCTGCCTCGCCGCAACCGCAAGCCGCACGGAGGTGACTGACGCTTAGCGCCGTACGATCTTGGCGCCGCCCTCTGGGTATATAAGCCGCTGCTCCCCACCCGTTTCGACTTCTTCTTTTCTCTTCAGTTGCTTCGCAGAACACTACTGCCATGGGAAGGTCTCATGTTCAACTCGCATGTCAGCTAAGCTGGTGCAACCGCCAAGTGGCTGTCAGCTAAGCTGGGTTACTGGAGGTCATACTGTCGCGCCCGATTTACGTACGGGGTACCACACGGCAGGGTACGACGACACTCACTAGATAGGTTGGTTGTCAGCAACTTCAAGATCCGCCTTGAGCGCCTTGTCGTCCCAGCCAGGCCGGTCTCCGGTCTGGTATACTGATGATGTCCGCTAAGCGGGTCAACAGGGAAAGATGAGAGGCCACCACAAAGATGAAAGGTGGAATCGCATTCAGTCTGGTCACAGACAGTCTATCTGACGCAGTGCTTGTCGCTTGCAGATACTGACCTCCGAGGGCTTTGGGATTTGGAGAGAGGACGAGGTGATTCTCGTTCTTCCAGGCATTCAACACGCACTGTTCGCAGTGCTGTTTGTGTACCGTGCGCATCAGTGATGCGTGTCTGTCAACGGTATCTTGTCATCTTTTTCATTGAGCTCTGGGCCTTGCGCCTAGACTTGAGGAAGGAGAGTTGTCTGGTCAGATGGGCGACATATGTAGTGTCCATGGATGTGAAGCTAGTTGTACACCACGAAGTCTGGACAAAGAAATCATTGCGACTGTGTTGAAGACGTTTCATTCAAAATGTACATGAAAGGCGACTTCATGCAACCATTGCTTAATAAAGGAAAGGCTGGAATTAGGGAGTATAGATCGTAACATCATGAAAGCACCTAGAGACTCGTCTCACTCATCGCTATCATCTTCATCATCATCTTCATCATCATCCATCTCTTCGTCTTCATCTTCACTTTGTACGTCGCTTGCGAATTCAGGATCCACGGGTGGCGACGACGGCCAATCCACGGTCACCTCTTCCTGTAATTCCTCCCAAAACTTGCCCATGTCTGCTCCAGCGTACTCCTTCACCTTCTTCGCTGGGACTGGGATGTTCAAATTATTGGTGGCATCATCGCTCTTGAAAGTCACATACATGTGGTCTTGCTGCAACATGCCGACCTTAAGATGAGTAAGAGCAAGTCGCGGCGTCTTGGACAGCTTGCGGAAGAAATCGCGCCAGAAATTGGGCTTGTGTCCGTGAGGTGGAGCGACTGCAGCGGGGATGTTCATCCTCCAAAGGCTCAGATCTTCCAGAGTCGGGGCGAACTTGGAGATAAAGTTGAACAGGATATCAGCCCGAGCGCTTAGCTGACCAAGCTCGAGGTTCTTTAAGAGCGGTAGAGCAACAGGGGCAGGGTCAAGGAAAGTCGCTATATGCGAGCCGGTAGCGGGGTTCGGAGTAGCCAACCACTGCAGAAAGTCCTCGTTATTCGCCACCAGATGTTTCTCAAAGTTCAAGCGAAGATGAACGAGATTGGGAGTGAAATGGAGGAAGCGCCGAAGCGAGCGTCCCGCGTTTGGATCCACTGACGTCCCGTTGCTATGGGTGTGCAGGTAACGAGGCTTGAGGTCCACGTTCAAGAGTAACGTGCTTGTGTTCTGCAATATGGGTTCCACTGTAGGTCGGATGTAGTCTGGAAGGAAGAATGCCGTGTCGGGGAGGCCGCGCTGACGAAGCAGTACCTCAAACTCAGTAGGTCGCCGGTTAGCCTTGCCCAAAGCGTACAGCACGCTGGAGAAGACGCGTGACGTGAAACGAGTGCCGACATCCTGTCCGAAAGAATCGCGATCAGCGAACCGTAGCTCAATACCGGTCTCGCGATGGACGGTAGTTGCGCCCCAGGAGCTCCAGCTCTTGCCATCACGAACTCGATTGCCTGCGTTGAAGTCGCGGATCCCGACGGTGGTGAGGTTCTCGAGACGCTCGAAGGCTTCCGTAAGCATCTCGCGGTCGATCCCAGTACCCAACAGCGCTTTCTGGTCCTCGTAGCCCTGAATGTAGCGCGTAGCGGCGTCGTCGTCCCTGAAGCGTAGTGGTATCTCGCTGTAGACATTGGTGGCAATGATGATGTGTACCAGCTTCTTGGAAAGACTGGCATGCTTCGATATGTCGATGAGCGCCTGCAGGCTCTTGTGCGTGAGCATGAACTGCTTCTTGAAGAAGAACTCTTTGGAAAACCATTCATAGAGCGACTTCTCGGTTTGTTTGCATACAAGACGCAGTGAACCAAGATCTTCAGTAGGGAGGTATTCTGAAACCGCGACCAGCAATTCCAGCGGTATGGTGAGTAGTGATGCCATCTTGATAGGAAGTGACTTATGTGAGCGAAGTTTGCTGTCGTGGTTGATGCAGATGCTTGTGGCACGACTCCCGAGGCCGTCTTATCATGTGTGCACGCGTGCCGTTCGCGAAGGCAGAAATGGGGGCTAGTCCGCTTTGGGCGCTGATGCCTAAGGGCGTTCCTTCTGAACACAGGCCACCGTCTCATCGGCCACCTGGTTCCGTCTCAATCAAATGTTCAAATAGCCATTCTGCGCCCCCAATCCAGCTGCATCGCGTCTTCCAGGGTTCATCGAAGTCAATCGCATCAAGCGCATCAATCGCATCAATCGCATCAATGGTACTT